GCATGTGCCTGGCAGAGCGGAGAGCACACCCAGAATGGAAGGAGGAAGGAGCTGTTGCCAGGCTCTTTAGTGCTAAACCAACCTCTGAGGCTACTTCATCTCCACTCGGTCATGGTTACAATTTTTGCTGTGCGAGATACAGCTTAAGTCATACAGCACCGCATTCCCCCCCGATCGATCTCTCAAGCTTCCCTTCTCTCTGTGTGCGAAATGTCCCTGTTTGGTGTCACGTAATGAGGGTAGAAACACGAAAAGGTCTCCTTAGAAGAGGGCCATTTTGAGAGTGGGGACATTCATACCAGCCACTAAGCTGTGCTGTGGGGTATCCTTGCCACTTACTCCCATATCCACACACTGAGCTGCAGAAAGTGAGAAAGCCTTAGTCTCAGTGCTAGATGCTGGAGAAGACTCACTCACAGCAAGTAACTGTTCAGAAATCATGTGTTGACAGTTGCCAGCTTTGCTGCAGTGTTACCTTGGTCTCTGTGGGACTGCTGTGCTGGAGAGCACACGTGCTGGTCTGCCCGAGCACGCTGCAGCTCAGGCAGAGCTGGCACATTTGGGGGCAAACCTCATCTGTGTCACACCATCTCTGCTGGGGGCTGCAAACAGACATGCAAGTCTCGAGTTCCTCAGATGCAAGAGCAAGTCACAGTCCTCTGCTTCCTCCCGAAATGTCTTGTGTCTAGCAAAGCAAGCTGGCAGCAACTTGAGTCCCAGAGTTAGCAGAGAGCCTGTGTCGTGCTGCCTCCCCCATCTTTAGGGCCTGTTTCTCGAGCTGCTCCCAAGGGCAACCCTTTGCAGGGTTTCAGGAGCTGCTACAGAACATGTCCAGCACCTGCCACTGCAGGGTTGCACTGAAGGGTTTCCCCACTCCCGCTGCTTCTCACATGTATTCAGCAGCACAGATGCTTTAGTGCAAATGCACATTATTTTCTGGCTTCATCCTTTCTTTGAATTTAAAAAGAAAATTCAAACACTGCAGTGTGGGCACAGGGGTTTCCCAGCATACTAGTTAATCAGCGTTACACAACGTGTGCATGCTGTGGTGCTTAGCTATAATGCTTTGTGGTTTTCCAGTATGGTGTTGTCCTGGATGCTGGACCATCCCACACCACCCTGCTCATCTACCAGTGGACTGCTGGCAAAGTTAACAACACCGGGGTGATCAGGGAATGGAGCTCCTGTACTGTGCAAGGTATGTGTTTGGGACCTCTATGGAATGGGCATGAGATGACTGGAAATGGAGACAGTTGAGTTGACCCATTTCTATAGTTTATGAGTCCTGGGGCCTTCCTCACTGATTTGAGTAAGTTCAGCCCTGCCAGAGCCAGCTAAGCAGCATTCATGCATTAATACTTGGGTTTTAATTCCCTGTCTCCCAATCTCACTTTGCTGTTGAAGCAAGGCAAGGTGTTGGGAGATCCTCAGCTCCAGGCCAGTGTGCAGTGGGAGGGCAGCTGCAGCGCGCAGAGCAGGGGGCTCGTGCTCTCACAGCCCCCCAGCAATACCTGCCACACAGAGGCCATGCAAGAGCAGTTCCCTGAAAACTTGCAAGCATCCTTCAGCTGCTGCCATGTGGTATCATCACTTGCTATGTTGAAGATTACCTCTGCAGTTCAGTTGTTTGGGTACTTATCTGAACCTGCAGCAGTGTCATGACGTCCAGGCTAGTGTGTCTCTCCCCCAGCTGCAAGCAGCAGCCCTCAGTCTGCGTGGAAATGCAGTCCAGTGGAGAGCTGAGTCACTAATGAAACTGGAGGGGAAATCATGGTTGGACCTTAGGCAGCAGGCAAGGACTTGGAAATGGCAATTCAAATTCCACT